CCACATCCCAGAGCAGAACAGGACGTGTCCCACTGCTGTCCCTGCTCAGCCGCCGGGTCCCGCCGGCTGTATCCATGGGGGTGGGGAGCTTCTCCGCACCCCGGGGTCACCCTGCTTGCCTTTCCAGGACAATTAGGAAACATTTAATGACTGGTCCGTGCTGACATCTAGTGCCTACCGTGCTCCACTACAGCCAGCAGCCCCACAGCCCCCAGGGCAGGACTGGGGACAAGGACCAGCCCCGGCTGCTGCTCTGGGGGTGCTGGGGTCAAGGGAAACGGAGAGCACCTGCAGCAGAGCAGTGCTTCCACCCAACAGGAGGAAGAGAAGAGGTCAGAGAGGGTAAGGCACAAGGCTGTGCCCTCCAAGGAGCCCCACTTTAGCTTTCCTTCCCAGCTCGGGGCTTGCTTGGCCCGTGTGCGCCTTGCCGAGCTCTGCGCCACGCCAGGCTGGGACTGCTCAGCACACACAGCTGGCCTGAGACCGTCTCAAAGTGCTCCTCTGATTCATCTTCAAAGCTGAAGAGAATAAACACGTACAAGTGCTGCTGCTTGCTCTTACCCTCGGCCTCGTACTCCTCGCTGTCTTGCGTCTTCCAGTGCTGGGGAGAAAACAAAAGATTCCCGAGTTATTACTATTGCAAGCCATCGCCCGTATGAAAGAGACTCTGCAATCAGCATCAAACGAGCTACAGGGCTCCAGCAACGCCGCCAGGCTTTCATCTCCCCGCTCCCCACAGGCTGGGCTGGCAATCCACAGCTCTTTGATGCTACCCGTTTCTGGCACGCGAGGGGCTTCGCTGGGGATAAACCGCAGCTGCAGCAAAAGGCACCTAAAGCCCCGCAATGACCCGCTCTGGTCTGGCGGGTTGATGGGGAAGGAGAGAGAGATCTGCTCTCCAAGCAAACCATGCTGCTTGTCTTGGACGTATCGGTGGTCGAGATGATGTGGCTGCAGGGAACATCACAAGCTGCATATGGGCACCACCCGAGCCTGGGTTACCCTTTCCTTCCAGCAGCACTGTTTTGCCATTGCCAAACCCCACCTGCAGCCCACGTGGATCTCGTGCGCGGCCAGCCTGCAAGCCAGGACACAAGCACAGCACGCTTCGAGTCTCAAGCATCCCCATCATGGGTAGCCCTTGGCAGAAAGCTGCATGGCACACCACCACCTCATGTCCCTGCTCCCCTCTGCGGGCGATCGCTTGTCACCCACGTCAGCCGCAGAGCCTGGGTATCCCGGGCACCAGGGAACACGCATCCATGACAGGTAATTAAGCTGCAATGAACCCATGAGCGCGACCTGGACATCTGCTTCCAGAGCACGTGCGAGCTGGGAAATGAAGCTTTTGCTGCTTTATGCTTTTCCTTTTGACAAGGGGCACCCATCTGCCTGCTGAGCTCGAGGGCCAGCAGCCCGCACTCAGCCGAGCCCACTCCAAAACACCTCCACTAGCCACAGCGCTAGAGAGACAGAGCCGTGCTGCCAACAAGCTCTCCATGGAGCTAGATAGAGGAAAAACCCAAAAAACCCACAACCATATACTTTGCAAGTCTCAAGCCATCCCACTTCCTTTGTGGCAATACCACATCAGCTCAGGCGGCAACGGGAGCAGGGCAGAAGTACGTTGTTCAAAATGATTTCCCCATGTACTACACGTTGTCTTGTCCCTACCACTCTTGTACCAGCCGAGGGTATTTACTCACACGTGATGCTCAGCGATATTAACTTCTTGTTTAGAAACAGCATCAGCAAATGTTACTGCTCCACCGTTACAAGTGGGTAGTTCTGCGTGCACGTGACTGATGGATTTGAAGTCAAAGTCACCCAGGACATAAAGAGGCTCTAAATCATCATATAAAAGTTCAATACGTCTCATTCAGATTACAGCTAAAAGCCATTAATCTACAACGTTACCATGGAAACTGGATTAGGTCACTGGACTTTTTTTAGCTCTGCTGCTTGCTCCCCATCATCAGCTGGACCGTACAAGAGCTGCCCGCAGCATCCCAACGTACCCCTCTGCTTCTGGGGAGAGTCACAGGGCGGGAATTGGGGACAGCCTCAGACGGAGAGGGAGGCTTAACCTTTGCTTTCCCGGGGAGGCTTCAGGCAGAAATCAGCCTGGCAGAGGCAGGAGGTCACAGGCAGGGCTGGAACCTGCAGCTCCACTGGATGTTCCGAAAAAAGCCAAGAACATATATAATATTGCACTAGAAAGCTGTGGATTTTGGCCCAAAACAAGCGCCGTCTGGCTAAGCACCACTATCGAGGCATTAGGGTGGCAGATTCCTGGTTTGCCTGATAAACCATCAGCACAAGCACACAAAAAGCAGGAGCTGAGCCAACAGGTACCGTCAAGTTACCACCCGCAAAGGCAAAAACCAGCCCGTGTCCCCAGAAATGCATGAGCTGACACTGTCCCAGCCCTAAGTGCCTGTATGTGTGCAACAGGCGACTCGGTGCTGGGAGAAGGTACATCTGGGTGCCAGACAGAGCTACCACCCCGCAGCCGCTCATCCTTGTCCTTGGGGGGCCACGAGGCAGTGCTGCTCAGAAGGGGGGTCCACTGCTGTGTCCAAGTCGCTTTGCATAAAGAGACATATGTATTTTTAGACAGAATCAGATCTAAACCATTTAGCACCTGACCCTCTTCGCTTCAAGGACTTGCCTCAAAACCAAGAAGCCCAAACCACAGCGCACGCTAACTCCAGTAAATACCAACAGCCTGAAGGGGCTGAAGTTCACGGGGGGCTGCGG